GTTCAAAAAAGCGGGAAGGCTCCGCGTCTTTCAAGAATGCCTTCATGCCGGGAAAACTGCCACGGCTCCCGCCAGCACCAGCAAATACGGCCGGTGTATTTATGTCATAACTGTCCATCATTAACTGTTGCTCCGTGGGGACCTCAACAGTCGCCATGTATTCCGGTATATGGCGCTGCGTGGGTGGTATGCGGGCGACTAAATACGCCAATGACCGCATTGGAAGACCTCGAAAATATGTCTCCAGCAAGGGGTAAACTTGTGCAATCAGGTCACTTATGAGTAATCGTGCCAAGGTCTCGCTGGAGGTCCACCACACGATGGCCGACTCCGTACAGAAAGGCGGGTGCAATTCCTGCCGGGTCTTGAAGGAGGAGCTTTGACGTTGCGCGCCAATGACCGAGCGACGCACCACAGTCTCGCAAATAGAAATGGACTCCAACGGCGGTAAGCCAGTGAGAGACGCCACCACAGAATTGTAGTGGACATCCCAGAGATACATGCCGTGGGTGCAAAAGAGCAAAACCCATGGCAGCTCCCTCAGTGGAAGTACCGCTTGTAAACCTTCCACCTCTCGCAAGCAATGCACCGTCGCCTGGTTGATAAATGCCGCCGATGGAATGCCTCGCGCATGCGCCAGCGTGACAGACGCATCAGCCTTTTTCGACGTGTCCACGGCCTGCAGCACCATTCCACATTGTAGTCCAGTAGAGGGATACAAGGAATTTAGACGCATGGCTTTCGTCCGAAACATTGTGGCAAAAAACATCGACGTAATGCCATGGCCGTTAATTAGGTATACACAACCGCCAGCGCATCCCACTGCGACAACATTGCCGTCCGCTGACGCCAAAGCCGCCGCAACAATTCTGTCAGAAAGCAAGCCTCTGTACACACCGGTGAACGACGATTGCGTCTGTGAAGCCGTCGCAGCATCGGGTGAAACGTCCAGGGGCCTCCGTTTTGAGCCCTTCGCTCCCGCCCTTGACTTACGCCCTAATTTGTAAGCCGCGGATGCAGCGGCACCACTGGCAGCAGTGGCAGCATCATCAAGGGATTTTGTGGTAGAACACTCTCCAATGGATGGCATTGGGAAAAGAAAGGAGTTCAATCGTGCCACGGCGCTTCTGCTAATGCTTTTTAGAGGGCACCGCGTGTAGTTGTTGCCATTTACCCACACCAACAAGCAAAGCGGGTGGTGGGTACCCATCGCCATCTCCGAGTCGGACAAATTCATGCCCGCTGAAAAAACAGAGCGCATACCACCCGGCAGTCGCTCCGGCATGAAAAAGACACGGCCCTGATGGCTGCCGTTTAGGTAACCGTCCTCCACCAAACGGCACGTGACATCCATCGTGACTCGTTCAGAGCCGTCGCTCAACTCATGACAAGGCACCTCCAGCGATGGGAGCGCAGCAACGGCAACAAGTGCGTCGTTGTCGAACCCAACAGCAAGATATTTCAGGCAGGGTGAGAGCTGCAACGAACTCAGAGAGCCGCTGGGATACCACTCGGCGGTGCACATCTCAATGACTCGCTGTTGTGCCCTCTTCCTCAACAGAATAGGGAGATGAGCACTCCGTCCCAGTTCCACCTTACGCACAACAAAGAATCCTTTGTAGCCAATAGCAACCGCCCACTTCCCTTCCGAGAGAGGCACGCAATTCAGCGCAACCACATGAATAAGGTTTCGTTTCAACGGCGGAATCTCGATGCTCTCAACCGCACCCCCTTCTTGGCCACTATACATCAACTCAACCCGCCCATCCGTAAACCCACAAAGCGTCACGTCATAGCATAAAAAAACAGCAGAAAGGATACTCCTCGCTGGTGCATTCGCCCTTTCCTCAGCACTTCGACGCCTGGGTCGCGTAACGGCAATGTGCATTACAAGCCCGGTGGGTATTTCCACCAAAATTGGATTGTCCTTTGCAATAGTTGTGTAGGGTGCATACATACTTCCCTGGTCGGGACGGCGAATCGCCGCTGCCTCGTCCAAGGCGTCATTTACACACTTCAACACAATCTTTGTAAAAAAACGAAAGGGCGGTATGACGTCATCGTAGAGATACTGCATGGCCTGGGCGCAAAAAAGATAATAATAATAATAATAATAAAGATAAAAAATGAAACTATTGCCTCCTTTTTGGCCTTCACTCCGCGTACTACCTTCGCAAGGAGCAGAAAAAAACAAAACAAAATAGGATGCTAGCAGCTACAGAAGGGGGAAAAAATCAATACGCATATGAATCATGTACACATCATCCTTGTCTCCTCCTTTCGGGCAAAAGAGCTTCACTACAAACAAACAAGCAAAGGCATGTGCACACGTACAGAGACATGCACACTCCAAGTAAATCTCGCACGGGTCCCATTGGCCCCTTTCCCCAACCCCACTTTCAACGATACTGAAGCACGCTGGCTATTCGGTTCTTCTCACTCTTGCCCATGCTTCCAGATACTTTTGTTTTTCCCCGCTTTCTTTTTTTTTTTTTCTCCCCTCCTCCTCGTTTCTTGTTTCACCACTAAACACTAGTCACTGTCACTGCTTTCAAAGAGTTTGGATTTCGGCGGAGGCATGCGGCTTTTGGTCACCGTGGGTCTCTGCATCGATGGCACCCGCCTCTCATTCCTGTCGTCGTCGTCGTCGTCACTAGAGGAACCAAAAAGGTTGGATTTCGCCACCGCTGCCTGCGTAGACGGCAGGAAAACACGGGCAGCTGGCGGTGGCGGTGGCGTCGCGGTGTCATTTGCATCGAAGCTATCGTTTTTGGCAGCCGTCCTCAGCAAGGAGGCCTCGTCAAGTTCTACCCGTGGAGCCTCGGCTTGCGGCTCATCGCTAAACGGCGTCGCCTTTTCCTCCGCCGTCTCCTCCTCCTCCTCTGCGGGGTAAAAAGAAGAATGAGCGCCAGACACCCTTTCGTCTGTCCCATCCTCTAAAAGTGTCGACTGTGGTGGTGGCGGCGGCGCTTGTTGTCGTGGCTGTTCCTCCGTGATATCTCCCAGAGCTTCTTGCTCCTCCGCCACAATAACGGCACGTAACTGCGCCTCCTCCGCCATCAGTTTGTGTCGCACCTCAACTGCGGCCGCAAGACGTTGCAAGGCTGCCAGCCCCTCGCCGCAATCAAACAGCATCCCGCTAAACTCGGCACATTGGTCCGCGTCAATCAGGGCCCTCTCACCCTCCTCTGCCTCCATGAAGGCGTTCTGATCTGCCGCGGTCACGCCGGTCAGAGCCTCCGTCAAAAGTAAACGGAATGCCACCGCTTCTTCTTCCTCCGTGACGGTGCGTGCTGCCATGCACTCCTCGCTCAGTGCCCGCCGTGCCTGAAGTTCCGCAATTCGGTATGCATTGATTGCGTCCGTGGCCGCCAAGTATTCATCAAAAATCCCTTTGAAGGCCCTCTCTGCCTCATTGAGGCATTCGCACCGTTGCATCATCTGATTATTGAAGACCTTGGAGAGTTCCGTAAAGAAGGATTCCATTTCTTGCCCAATATCAAACCGACTACGCGTTTCCGCCGCGTTGATTTCATAGTGGGCCATTCCATTACGCTCCAGCCAAAGACGGCGCACCGCCTCCACTGTCGCCTTCTGCTCCGCCAACAGTGGTTCCACCCAGGCACGATAAATGGCCTCCGATCTGTCGCAATATAAAGAAAACATGCTCGACTCAATCCATTGAAGACGACGTTGCATTGACTGAAGCTCCTCTGCCTCCTGATTTCGCTTCTCGAAACTGAAATCCAACTTCTGCCGCTTTTTGAGCGCATCCAAAATCTGCAGCAAATCTGCCACTTCCGCCGGTCGACTCAGCCGATACGCAACGGATGTGAAAGCAGCCATGGGAATATCCTGAGCACACCGTAATTTGGTGCGCATACCCTGGAGCTGAAACTCCAACCGCACTCTTTTTCCTGTTTCCTCATACATTTGCTTCTTGAGTTCCGCAACTTTGGCCCCAAGCGTGCGGTTTTGCGCCATGCCGTCCTCAATGACACGCCGCAGATCGGTTTTAGATGCATCCAGCTCGGTCATGGCCCGCTGTGCTTCAAGTTGGAGCTCCTCCAGTTGAGTCTCCACATGGACGCGTGCCTCGCGCCTTCCAATTTCTTTGCCTTCGGCTTGTCCACGTCGAAAGTTGTCCTCCTCCACACGAGCACGATCCGCCTGATATTTTGCTTCGCGCGACTGCAAATCCGACACAATCTCACTACGCAGCTGTTGCGCCTCGAATCCACGACGCTGTCGTTCATCCTCCATGATTTGAGCGTAATGTGCCCGTTCCATGTCTGCCGTACGACGAAGCTCTTCTAGTTGGGCATTTTTCAGGTGCAGTTCAGCCTCAGCGTCTCTAATCTCCTCCTGCAGAGACATCACCTTCGCCTCCAAGCCCTTGCGACGTGAACGTTCTTCAGCCAGAGCGTCGTGTATGGTGTCTAATTTTGCAACAATGCTCTGGGCTTGTATGGCGTGTACATCGGCCTTGCCTCTTATCTGGCGCAGCTCTTCATCGGAAACCCCGAGCAATTTCTTCACGGTTTGAAGATGGCGCTGCGTATCATCCCGCTCTTGGACAGCCTGATTGATCTGCTCCTGCAGCTTCATGATAACACGTTCCTTTTCCAGCTTCACGTCTGATGCCGTGCGCATGGAGTCATTCTTTTCGTCCATCAGTTGCTGCGAGACCAAGGCCGCGGCATCCACACGCTTCTGCAGCTCGCGATTCCGCTGATCCAGTGAGCGGAGCAGCTCATCGCGGCGAGCAATGTCCTCCATGACACGTTCATTCTCCATAATGAGCTGTTTTACAGACTGCTCCAGGGCCGCATTCGTCAGCGCCGAAGGCTTGGGTCGGCTTACGGCCTGCTTCCATTCCCCGGTCACGCCCACGGCAATATCACGTACATCACGCGCATCTGTTGTGGCCCGGCTGATTTGAGCGCCCAACTTCTGTATCAGTGCCATGTGCTCCGCGGACACTCCACCACCCTCCTCGCCGAAAGCGGACGTGGTGAAAAACATCCCATCGGTGCCCGTCGTCCCCTCCCGATGCTCACTGTGAAGCACAACAATCTTTGTGCCATTCGCATCCTTCGTGTGCGCAGGGACAGGAACCAGGGCAGAGGCATTGTCACAGTCGGCGAACACCACAGGAACTTTGGCATCCGCCGCCATTGGGGAGTCATCGTGGAGAATGCGTACCGCTTGCAGCACAAAAGCAACAGTGTCACCGCCGTACAAATGCCTCCCTCCTGAGCGCGGAAGCATTGCCGGCACCACAACCGTCCGCCAAGAGTCCTCCATCATGCCAAGCACACTCGACTCAAAGCCCTTCGCCTCTGGTAGAAGGGCCAATGCCGACTGTACCGGCTGAAAGTTATAAGGACGGTCTCCGTTCGTCTCCAGCACCTCACCAAGCTGCAAAACGTCTCCTTTGCGAACGGCAAAGGCAGAATAACGCATCTTAACACGATGCTGCAGGCCAAGCCGGACCTCACCTGCTGGTGGCGCAAAATCGCTGACGACGGTCGTGTGTGCGGGTTGTCCTGCCAAGGCGTAGAGCGCAATCCCAAGTACGGCCAAGAAAGGTTCCACCTGAGATTCCTTTAGAAACATGCAGCTCCACCGCTTTCCCGTACTGTCACAAAAACTGGCGTACATGCCCGTTTGTAGTTCAAACCGAAGACCATGCTCATTGTTTGAGGACATGGCGCCCACGCACAACGTTTCACGGCGGTCATTGTAGCACACCAAGCTGTACTTTGGCCGATCCGATGGAAGTCCCACAATGGCGCATGCACAATTCCCACGCTCTACAGTCTTCCCGTCGAGAAGCTCAAACAAGGCAACTGGTGTAACGATAAGTACCTTCTGCTGCATTTACTATTGCAGCAACAAGGAGGAAAAAAGGAATACTTGTTGAGTTTGTATGAGCAGAGCTATCCGAAAGGGGTTGGGGTTGGTTCAGCTCTCCAACACGCAAAATACTTGCAGATGTACTCTTTGAAATTGTATTTATGTACTTATTTCTTTTTTTTTTTTTTTTTTAATGCGTGCGTGATGCCCCTTTCCCTCCTCCTTCTCCTCTCTCCCCCTTTGTTCCTTTGTGAAAACTCCCTTTAATGGCAGCAGCACGTGGAGACGAAACGAGGACAGATCCATCAAAAAGGGGATGCAGCAGCGGCAGCAAAACAAAACAAAACACAAGGCATTTACATAAATAACGGCAATAATAATAGTAATAGTAAGACTCACCACCGGGACTACCCACGCTGTGTAAAACGCCGGGCCCTGCTGGAGATGCTTGAATAGGGCGCAACACAGCTAGCAAAAAGAGCAATAAGTGCCACCACATTGAAGCACACCACCCATATCCTCAAGGTAACATCACTGCCTTTTTGATTGATTGATTCCAGTGCAATTAAAAGGCGGGAATTCATCACGTCCATCTCCTTCTTCATATCAATTAGCCTCTCACGGTAATTGCAGGAAAGCCGCAACGCATCGCGAAAATTTTTTCCAACATTCCCAAGCGCCGTCTCGGCCTTCTCGAGTCTTCTCTCCGTATCTCGCTGCCGAGCAAAAGTCTCCTCCAGCTCCTGCTGCAAAACCTTAAGATGTTTGCTCATCTGCATGATAATCTGCAATGCTGCCCCGCCTTGGAACGGCCTGGGCGACAGCGCCATCCTGCTGAACAGATTCGTCCTCGAAAAACATTTGCACCTCGAACGGGACAAATGCGCCTCTTTTTCATGCAGCGTACATGTCGTAGAATTATTCTCCACTACTTCATTATGGTCGCAGCAACCTGAGGAATCCCCGTCCGTGCACATGTCATCCGTGCCTCCGCTGCCGCTGCTGTTGGAGCCAACAGCAATGATGGCATCCACCTGCCGGAACAAATTCTCAATTTCTGCGCCTCCGTTTAACTTCTCTTTTTCTTTAAGGGGATGCAACCAGTCCGCTGCTTTGTCGGTACGCGCATCAACTTCTGTGAAAAAAGGCGGTGATGGCTTAACAACAACCGGCGGAGCTGGTAGCGCCTTCTCTGGTAAGCTGTGCAGCAAATTATCCAAGTCCCCGCCGTAGTCTTCCGTCAATGTTTCCAGAACGTCCACACCAAACACCTTGAAAACCGTCAGCGTGCACCACGAGTCGTCGCCATGGGAAGTTACCCACAAAAAACGCAGAAAACGCACCGGTTCCTGCGTGGGCACGTCAAAGTGTTGCGTCCCGCGCCATGGACTGGCCTCGAATTCCCCGAGGACACGCCACTCGCTTGTGGGGTACTTTTTACTGCCAAGCAGCATGAACTTCTTCACACCCGAGCTGAAGTGTTCCAAATTAACCAACATGACACTGCGCACCTCGATCTCCCGGATAAGCTGGACAGTAAACAGCTTCCTGGAGGCCTCGCAGTTGCATATCATGTACTTCGTCTTGTCCTCATTGAGTACGGACGATGCGCCCTTGCATGCACGGCTAAAATCGGTCAGTGTGGCTCCCAAATACGCTGATGCATAATTCGTCGTAAAAGATAAGCTTTTCCACGGTGGATTCTCCTCCAGCCCTCCCCTCTTCCTGGCATTCAAAAGAAGAAAACCACACGTGACAGCCATCAAAGCAAGCACTAGAAGTGTGATTAAACGATCCGTCTTCATTGTCTACACGTGTATAACAAAAAATTGCACTATAATAGTACCAAAATACACATAATATAATATATAATATATATATATTGTAGAATATGGAAACGCTTGCCCTAGTGGGTGCAAGACTTATTGTGTTCTTGCCAAAAATAAAAATAAAAAATGAAAAAAAAAAAAAAAACCACCAAAGCATGTATCTACTGAAAAAAAAAAAAAAAGTGAAGTAAACACAAACACACACAGAGAGACAAAATAACACATAGAGAAAATAAATAATAATAATAATAATAATGCTAACATCAAACTAAAAAGAAAAAAAGGACGCCATTTACGCAATGGGACTATCCCATTTCAAGAAGGCAATTAAATGCAATAAATTCTCTTTTCAATCCTTCCTGGCGTCGCCTTCTGGTGTCGCTCTCGGAGGACAGATCCCGCGGGGACACGGAGTCGCCGAAGAGTCTATTAAACTCCTCATCAATTTCTAAAAGAATGCCTTTGGATGCCTTGGAACGCTCAGGGCTAAATGCCGTGGGGGAAGCCTCAACATTCTCACCAGGCGGCGGTGATGACCCCTCGGCAACAAGCTTCCCCCTCACAAGCTGCTCTCCCTCGCGGTATTCGACCACGTTGCCAGTGTACTGAGGAACGCTTGTGATGAGATCAAGGTCGCCCTCGTCATCGTCGTCGTTCACGCTCAGCGAAAAGGTATGCTGGGCGGCTGTCGCACGCGTTGGCCGAAGATCATCTCTACCGTTTCCGGCTCCAACGAGAGTGCCGCCAGTGCCAGTGGTCCTGTTCGCCCATTTACCCGCCGTGGAGTCTGCCGCGAGAGACGGTGCGCTACTGGAAACCAGCCGTTTGCCCACGCTCTGCACCACGCTCCATCCCCATGACTTCGCCGCCTGTACGCCTTCTTTCGCCTTGTTGCCAAATGCCTCCGCCTTTCTTCGAGCCTCCTCCTTGTCAAATTCAAGATGCGGCAACAAATCCGTCAGACTGTCCTTCAACGCCGCAACGGAGTCCGCAAAATCGCCCCTTGCCGTATCGGCCGCTGGAGCACCTTTAATGGTGATGACTTTCGCCTTGATCAGTGGAATGAGAGCGCGAAATCCACCCATGCTGACGTACGGGAACCCACATTGCACAAGGTGCAGAGACAACATCTTCAGCAAATTAAACTCCTCGGTGATGGGCCGGCCTGTACCAAAGACGCAAATATGGTTCCCTTTGATGTCCTTCAGCGTCAAGGCCACCCTGTCAAACTTCTCGTTATCGAAGCCGACATCGTCCCCGACACAAATTGCAGTTGGCAGTCTAGCAAACTCAAAACTCTTGCGGGAGCGGCAGTCCAGCACGACGTAACTCAGTGCGCTTGGCGCCGCCTGCGGGGCGAATGACTCGGCAAAATCGGAACGCTCAAGCGGCAAGGCGGTGTAAGCCGTGTAATAGCCTTCCAGGGCATCCGGACTTTTGCTTAGGCCACCCTCGTCGTGGAACAGCAAGGCGTCAATCACACGCCGAGTGGAGTGAGGAGTACTTCGGTAGGCGATGTCCGCATTTTGAGCAAGTGACTTGCCGGACCGAAGCGAGAGAAATGAAATAGGCCGACCGTCGTGCAGAGCAGGGTTCACCGCATCTTCCTTTCGTGTAGGAAGCACAAAAACAAGTGAACGGAGTGCCTCGGTCAATTCCTCTTTAGTTTCCATGGCAAGAAAACGCTGGCGGTGTGCCACGAGGTACGAGAGGGCAAAGTAAACTGTCATTGTGGGGTCCCCCATAATCAGCAGCCAGTCCCAGACACGGAGCGCCTCCTGAAAGTTGTCCCCCACCACAAAAAGCCTTCGCACCCAGTCGAGGAGAATCACCCCAATGTTGACAACGCGCTGGTCGAGGTGGCGTGAGAAGCAGGGGTCGTGGTACTGCAACAGCAGATGTAACAGCGACGCCAGGGAGCCATCAAAGGCGCGAGAGGCAGCAGGTACAACAAAGTCTTTGCGCAGCACCTCAAGCAGCTGGTAAAGCCGAAAAAGTTTTTCCGTGCCAGGCGGCAACTCTGCGGCGGCAATCACTGTGGCAAGCGCAAGGGTGATGCCCGTCATCTCATCGTCGAATTGACACCCGGTTTTGGTGGCAAAGTAGCAGACAAACCCCTGCAAGTCAGCGTCCTCTAGCAGCTCATCCTCGCTCAAAACTTCTTTCAGCCTTGCCGCCACATTCTTGTGAATTTCACCCGCTTCTCCCGCATGTTCTCTAAACGTGTCCGGGACAACAGTTGGGGGCTTGTCCAGAAGCAGGCCGCTGTAGAGTTGGTACCTCCGCCTGCCAGTGAGCCTGGATGACACGTACGGAACCTCCGTGCATGCCTCCTGCAAAGCCGAGAGTGGCACGGTGCCCGAATCCGACGCGGCGGCTTTGTCGAGCAACTCGAACAAGCGAATTTCAGCCTCGCTCATTGACAATTTGCAGTCCGGCGTAAGCGATGAGTACAACGGCAAATCTTACAGATTAAAAAAATAAAGGAGAGCGCAACGCCCTCAAAAGTAAAAAAAAAAAAAAGAAATTTCCATCAGCCCACCAGCACCTCCCTCCGCAGCACAGTCCTCACCAACCAAAAGGAACAAAAATAGAAAATAAATTCAACAAAAGCAAAATATATATATATATATATAAACACAAGGGGCCTCACGTGATCATGTTGAGCACACCCTCATCGGTGGGATCTTCCAGAAGAAGAGCGGGAAGGGTGCGGTCCTGTGTGAGAAATCGGTGGGCAGCCTCCTCGTCGTCCATTGTGCTGTTGGGACACTCCCGTTTTGTAATAGGGGCGATGCCACGGGCCATAATCCCGTTTTTCCAAAATGATTCGTGATCCAACTCCCTCGCCATGAGCATAAGCTTCAAGAGGAAGTCATTGAAGTAAGCCGCCTCCCCCTCCCTAACACAGTGCTGACGGAGAACTAAGACACACTCCGTACACTTGGCATACTGTGCATCCCCCAGGCTGCAACGAAGAAGTTTGAAGACGATGTCCCCCAGCTTATCCATCGCAAGCCGGACATTGACACCCTCACGGGCCTGCACAATCGCCTTGAAGGAGTAGACCGGGTCAACCGTCGTGATTTGTGACGCGCCCGAAATAATACAGGGTGTCGCAACGGTTGAAGGGGCCCGTGTGGAAGCATCTGATGCATCGACGTCGTGGGAGGCAGCAGGCGAGCAAAAACGATATGGCTGCCGCTCTTCCGCCACGCAATTCTCTCTATTCGAGACGTAAACAAAGCTGCGAGCGCACGCCTCTAGTTTCTCGCGCACACTCGACAGCACAGACTCTAGTTGGTTCCCCGGCACGCCGAACGCGGCCGAAGTGGCTTCTATCGCACCCACAAGCGGCAACAGCACCTCCCCATTGGTGTTTTTCTCCCCATTTTTTTCCCCCCGCAATTCGCCAGCCCCACAACTCCCTTTTCCTCCCACTGCCCCTCGGCCATCGCAAAAAAGGCGCAGCTTGGCACGCAGCGTCGCGTAATACTGCTGAATGACCGGATTAAACGTTTCTCTGGGCCGCAGCACCGACTTGCCCACAGTCATGTCCTCCACAATCGCTGCCAAAAGCCTCGCCTCCTCCCCATCATCACCATCATCGCTGCTGGTGCCCCACATGCCCTTGTAATCCGAAAACTCAAAGAAACGCACATCCTCCGCATACGGAAGAGGAGAAAAAAAAAGAACATCCCGCCGTTCGTTGGTCGAAGGCACACACAGACCAAGAACGGGGTCTGCATCACGTGTGCGAACAAAACGCACAATCATCGCCCGGTTATCTGCAGCAATCGCCCTTACAATGCTGCGGAAGGCTTTTGCCCCCACCATGTCATCGGCAAGCGGCATAATCACCTTCACTCCACCCAAAAGCACATACGCAGGGACTTGCTGTATAGGCACAAAACCGACGGCGTCCATTGCCCTTGGCCCCTTAATTTTCATTGCCCCCACATCTTCCCTTGCGCACGGGACAAGGCTGCGACCGTAGTGGTACCCCTTCAAAAGATCCTCCTTCCGCAACGGCGCGGCATCCTCACTGAGGTCCTGAAAGATGGTCTTCATATACACCTCCTCTCCATTTGCTGTCGTACGCTTCATAGTCGGCAGCCGCTCTTCCTGAGTTTTCGTGAACATCTGGGTCGCCAAACGCACGTCACCAATGCTGAGGACAACTCTCAAAAGTGCGCGTTGAGTAATTTTCCGCCGCCGGAGCTCTTGAACTTCTTGCAGAGCCTCCTCCAACGAGACCACCTTACTTTCCTCTCCAAGCAAAGAGCACATGACGTGCAAAACACGCTCATTCTGGGCCTTGAGTGAAAGGTCTGTCAAACTCTTATCATCACGCTCTTCGTCGTCGGTAGCATCGACTGACGTCTCAGTGAAGTCAATGCCGATGACGACCAAAGATACACCATGCTGCTGAAAAGATTCGAGAAGCGTATTCATGTCATCCTTCCGCGCCACGTCAGTATGAGCGTCGGTTATCAGATACACAACGCGCTGGTAGCACTTGTTTGCCGTCCGTTCGCGCAACACATGGTCACACACAAAAAGTGTCTCCAAAAAGTCCACCTCATGGCGCTCACAAGGCGGAGGGGGTGGTGTGATGTGCGCCAATGGCTCTAAAAATTCTACCGTGGGTGCAGCGAGGGCGCATGGCACCGAAATGTGTTTGAATCGTTCCCCACCCTTCTGGCCATTTTGTGGCGGGTTGTGTGGATCACAGGTGCCTGCGAGAACCAACGCCATCTCGTCGTGTGGCGCAAACATCATCGTCGTCTCTGCTGAGCGCCGGCAAAACTCCGCCGCCAACGCCAGCGAGGCCGAAGGGCAGTTGAGGTCAAGCGCAAAAACCAACGCCGAACGCAAAGTCATCGTTCACAGCCCCACTCTATGCGTATATGTGTGCGCACGGCTCTTTTCTACGTCCCTTCCCCCACGTCTCTGTGTGAGCCTGTCAGCCACGCACCTCCAGACCCTCAACACGCAGCCAATAACGCTAGAAAAGAAATAAACCAAGCTTTAAACCCAAAGAAGCAAAGAAAATCATACATATAAAATAAATGTCGGAGCGAAAAAAAAGAAAAAACACATGCAAAGAGCTATAGACGCATATGGGGGAAAAAAGCTAAATTAAACGTGGCCCCGTGTACATCGAATCCTTAAACAGAAAAGCGAACTTTTGGTGGGTATTTACACACATAAAAAAAAAAGTGCAAAGAAAAATCAGATCATCCTGATCCCCACCATCCATGTCGCTTCTTCTTCGCTCCCGAGGAATATGCGCCCAAGAATCAAAAATTAAGGACCGGAAATCAGTGGGAAGAGCGCGAACCCATTGTTGTTGTCTTCTCTTTAGAGACTAAATGTTGCTGTAGGAGCTGCTTCTCAAGAGCAGTCTTCTCGGCATACAACACACGGATGGCCTTTTCTGCTTTCGATTGATAAACGATGCGCTCCAGTCGCTCCTGATTCAGCTCTCGGATACGATTGTATGCCTTTTCCAGCTGTTCCTGCATGTATGAATCATCCTGTCCTGTGGACGGCGAGGGCTGCGGCGGCACGCTCACGGAGTCCGTGAAAACGCTTTGATTTGTGGAGCCACCCGACGAGCCGCATTCTTTGATGTCCCCCGTGAGACTGATGTAGTCCGTGCCCTTCAGCTGCGCAAGCTCAATGGTAAGCCTTTCCTGCTGCCGCGTCCACTGCTTGGAATCCATCTGGTAGCGCATCATGGTGGCGCGAAGCTTCTCCGCCAGTCGGAATGCCGTGCGCTTTTCCTCCGCAAGGAGGATCGCAAGTTTGAACCTCTCCTCCGTGACAACTTTGATCTCCGCATCACGCTCTGCAAGTTTATCCCGCATCTGCTTGCTTACGGCCTGCCAGCCAGCCGCGGCAGCGCCATCGGTGGCAGTCCCGTCTCCCCCGCGTTGCAGCTCCGTGATCTCCTGTCGCAGAAGGTCATTCTCGGTGGTGAGAATGCGCACACGGTCCTCCAGGGCGCTGACGCGGTCCTCGTAGACCCTCCGCTCCTCCTTCAGTGCATCCGCCAGCGTTCCATCGTTCTTGGAGTCGAGCTCAGCCATAAGCTGCAGGTACAGTGCCTTGTAATCAAGCACCTCGTGACGCCTTGCATCCTGCTTAATTTGAATTGCCCGCTGGCCAAACATAATTGCACTCAGCGTCTCCTCCGTAGATTCATCAGAGGGGCTGCAATTGACGACGATGGAGGTGTTGCCGTTGCCAAGCAACGAGTACTGCAGGATGCGAGTCAGCTTTGACTCACGGAACGGCACATGTTGCGAACTCTTGTCCGTCAATGCCGCAACAACCTTCCCGAGAACGAGAAGGCTTCCGTTGATGTGAGTTGCCTCATCCAGTGTTTTGCCCTCGGCATGTGACTTGCTGACCCGCTCACTGCCAGCCAAGTCGCAAATAACAAGACGCCCCTCCAACGCCATCGTCGGCGCATCGTTGAGCTCCCCCTCTTTCACCACCACCGTCCTCGTCTTCTCGGAACGGGTGATGTTGAAATTAAAAATTGTGTGAGAACGGGAACTCACTTCATTCATCATCGTACTTGTCATCTCCTTTCGACCCATGCCAACGCAAAACAGTTCCATGGTCTCCTCATAATTCTGCACTTTCTTCTCAATCGGCATGCCGGACGAGTCTGAGACAAGCACGACGTCGCCACACCCCTCCGGACCAAGCTGAATACGCACACGACCCTTCTGGGCATCAAGCAAGTCCGTCAGAATCTCATTGTACAACTGAACATAGCTCACGCTGCAGCTGTAATCGTGCTCCGTGTCATTTCTAATGCGATTCCATACATCATGCAGGCCTTGCTGCATCATACCGAGGTTCTTAGGGTCATCATTACTCATGGTGTACGTCTTGCCAGAGCCTGTTTGGCCGTACACAAAAAGTACGCCATGCTGACCGTCAAAAGCGGCGTCCACAGCACCACGTGCAAAATCTTCGTACACCTCCGTCTGTCCTGTTGTCGGGGTAAAGACTTTGTTGAATACAAACGACTTAGAAATCGGCCTTGAGCCGCTCTTTCGAGTCACGGTGACTCTCCGAGGGTCACTGGGGTCAAACTTCAAGTTGTTGCATGAGGCCTTCGACTCACGGGCTATGGTGGGGCGCACACGAAGAAACACGGAGATGTTCTTCGGTGCCGTCCTTGTGCCCGCCTGTCCCTTCATCCCTCACGAACCCTGTTGTTGGCAAAAGCAAGAATCCCTCCCTCTACTCGTGCGCCCTCCACCCGTCTCCTTTTTTTTTATTTTTTTCTTAATTTCTTTTCTCTGCTGTTCGCCCCTTCCGCCTCGTAGATGAATGTTTTGGAGCAAAATACTCCGCCGCTCGCAAATATTCCTCTTCAACCCTCCCACTGTGGCCTCCGTGACACGCTTTCACACCCTTCTTTACTCGCCCTCGCACCCCGATGGCAGTGCGCCCGTGATTCTCCTTACACCACCTTATCCCACACAAAGCCGACACGTAGAAGGCCTGTTGTGAAAGCCAAAACACGAAAATAGAGAAAAAAAAAAATGAAAGAAAGTGACAGAAAAAAAAGACCCTGGCACACAGGCATGCATCAACGACTGCAAATCAGATACCAAAAGTGCAAGGTTCGACGTACGTTAAACACAAATATTAAACTCGAGCAGATATGAAGAAATATCTATATTTACTGGTCATTGTAGTATTCATATGTATTCTTCCTGCACCTGCCTCTCTTTACTGGTCTCTCTTCTCAGGACATGATTGTTTCCCTCTCAATCCATTCCCAGGTTAGCCTTCATGCAGCTTTTTTTTTTTTACCAGAGTTTCCCGTAGGAAGAGGGCAATGTCCACGAGAGGGCTAAACCAGGCCCGGATATGCAGATTGCAAGGAAAAAAGTATGGCAAGACCTTATGAACACGGCAGCCCACGCCAGCGGTAATGGCTGCCGCTAAAACGCTAAAAAAAGAAAGGAAAAAAAAAAAAGACCGAAAATAATGTCTAAAATACGGGATTTTGTGCAGTCTTTGTTGTTTTTGTTCTTATTTCTCTCTCCCTTTTCCTTTCTTTTCCTCCCATAATCATTGGTGGCAACTTTATAGGTAGATGTGTAGACCTGCCATGCTCCCATTTCGCCAAGACCACGCAGTAGAAGCCCTGTATCATTTACTGCAAGCTCGTGGGCAAAGAAAAAATAATAATAATTTTTTTGATTCCCTACAAAACAAAAATAAAGCACAAGAACAAATATATATATAAATATAAATATATATGCGCAACCCGAAATGAGCCATTTGTTTTCGGAGAGTTAAAACTCTCGTCAGTTTGTGACCACCGAATTCCCCAGAAATTTTATATACTTGAGGGTGGATGACATGCAGGAGACACCCGCGTGGCCTTCTCGTATTCCCATCTTTTCTCCTTTTCCTCTTTTTTTTTTTTTCTTTTTTTTTTTTTTTTTTTTATTATCTCATATGTTCCTTCTTTTTCCCCTCGCCTCACTGCAGGCCCGCTACTCCACCTTGACGTTACTGTAAATGACTCTCACGAAAGCAAAGGAGGCGAGGAAGCCAACGGCTCCACTCAAGAGACAGAGCGTGTACGCCACCATCCCCATGTATCCAAAAAAGAGCACGGCACTCAAAAACCCCTTCAGCGTGGAGTAGAAGAAGTAGTAGAATACACTGTAGAAGAAGATCCAAACGCCGTACGACGCAGATGTCAGAAATGAGCGCCACCACCAATGATAATTCTGTCGGTTCAGTTGAATGTACGTTGAAAAAACGGCTGTCTGCGCGGCAACGACCATCACCAGCACATACACCGCCAAGAGAAAGCCAAACATGTAATAAACCGTCCCGTGCCAAACACTTCCAAATATGTACGTGACCTCCACATGAGACGCGGAAAAGGGCACAAAACCGGGCAGAATTATTGTCAACACCGAATCAAAGTACCACGGTGCCGGTGGAATGGTGCGAGGAATGCTGCTTACCTTCACTGGTGTCGTGATGTTCAGACGGAATCCCACGGCTGCGCCAAGCAACAACAACGGAGTAGAGACGCCTTGCCAGAGAAGCAAGAGAATAATGAACGAATACAAGGAGGCAGAACTTGCAGCGTAATTGCCAAGATGAATGAAGTTAAGCACAAAGTAACCAAAAAACATCTGGGCCGGGTAGAAAAGGCTGGTGGTGAAGATCAGCTTCCAGGACCGCATCTTCATGTACTTAATGAGCATGGCTGTGACCATTCCGTTGAAGAAACTAAACAGCACAAAAAGAAAGAGCAGCGTGCTCACCAACATCCCACGGCTCTGGGGCGAAAAAAATCCCATGCACGCCACGCAGAGTGTGGCTCCCAACATCATTGCCAACTGCGTCCCGGTCCCGACGCACATGGAGAGAAGACCAACACCGCGTGGTCGGCGAAAAACGTCACCGTGAACAACCTTCCACCCAGTCTCATCCTGTTCCTCGGCTTCAAGATCGTTGTAGTACAAGAAGTCCTTGCGCAGCGCACGGACCAGCACGTACCACAACGCCAAAGTCTGCAGCAATGTAATAATAAAAAAGTTCACGATGCTGAACCAATGAACCTTGGACTCCCTTGTCGTCATCTTCATGAACACATCCCAACGCGTTGACCACGTCAGTGGAGACTCCACCCAATGTACACTGTACGAATACGATATCCGGTCGTCGCTCAAAAGCTGCGGACCAACATTTAGCAGGTCCGTGGGGTCGCAGATGGCATTATTGTAGTGGACGCTCGTGGGCGTAATTTGAAACTGCACAATACGGTATGTTCTCCCCTCCAAATTAAACGGGGATTCCACTGGATGGTACGAGATGGTGAAGATCAGATGGTTGTTCACCACCGCCCTACCAGGCCCCGAGAAGGAGTTTAAATAACCCAAATTATACCCCGTAGTCACACGGTGCCCTCCCTTTTTGAGGGTAATATCCACTAACCCGGGCAAATCATCCACGTACAAGTTGCCACGGTAGCGGCCCTCAATAAGTTTGGAGAGGTATTTTTGATCCTTTGGCGTCATTGTCACCGTACAAAGTGGTACACACGTCGCGTTCTTCAACACAGCCACCTCGTACGGTGACTCCTCCAGCTGATCGCCAAACAACAGCTGACCAATGTTACGTCGATATCGCTTCTTCTTTTTCAGCGAGCATTGAGCCACTAACCTCCACGGCATCGGCATAACCTTCGCCTTTGACGTCAGCGAGCTCACCATGACCGGAATGACATCCCCCTGATGATAAGAGGAGGCGATGGTCTTTAAAACAGAGAACGCAGAAGCCTCCACCGAGAACGCAAAAAGAAGCGTAAGCAAAGCGACCAGCAAACAAAAAAAACGCGAGAAGGCATGACGCTCCCCCGTGCAAAGCAACATTCCCTTCCTTTTTTTTCCCCAAGCGGCAGTAGAAGTTACTTCTAATTTCCGACTCTTCACTTTTCTATGCAACACTTTCACCACCTGCGAGCCGGAGGCAACACAAATGAAACAAAAAAAAGAGAAAAAAGAAAAAATAAACGTTACTTTGCAACGCACGTGAGCGGGCACTGTCCGCGGCCACAGGTGGCACGGCGGGGGCACCAGCCCACGTCCAGTCAGAGCCCCAAGCATGTTGCTAGAGTCAGGTAAAAGTTGGCACTGCAACAAGTAGGCTCCCATCGATCAGCGCAGCCCAAAAACAGGCAAAGAAAAAAGAAAAAAAAAAACCGCTGCGAGTCAACGCGCACGAGGAATCCATCCAACAAAAAGGAAATCCGCCATGAAACGAAGATACGGCAAAAGCACCCAGAAAGAAGCCAAAAAGAAACAAATGTACTCTTGATGTCCGTGTAAATTCGTCTCCGTGTGTTTGTGTGTGAGTGCATGTGTATCTTTTTCATTGTGCTCCCTCTTTGGTAAGGGTGGCGTTCTTTTTTTTCCCTTTTACAAACTGCCCTCAGCTGTCACTCATTGTACTTTATTATCTCGTTCATCAGCAGCTGTCGCAGCTGGACAGCACTCAGCTCGGTACTGTCAAATTCCCAAAAGAACTGCTCCCCTGCCTCCGTCTCAAACTCCTTCCCGCCGCAGTTTGCCCGCACCTCTCGTAGCCACGGATGCGCCAGTGCCTCCTTCGCCGTCATGCGCTCCTTCGGGTTGTACATCAGCAGCCTAAAAAGAAAATCCTTGAACAACGCGTACCGCTCCTCGCCATTCCTACCATCCTGGTTTGCCTGCGTCCTCGTTGTGTTAGCATCACCATATATTTCCTCTCGTTGTGTCTCCTCCCCCCCTTCTTCTATCCCCTCCCTCTCATCACTATTCTCGTCATCCCTCCCTTCCATGGTGTAGCAGATGGATGCCATGTACCTTTCCCTCACTTCCGGGCACACGGACTCCAGCGGCCGCCTCTCCTTGACAGGGAGAGAACGCACGTAGCTGATGGCCTCCGGCGAGCGTATTTGCGATAGATCTCGCACAATGTCGGGAAGTCCTAATAAATCTGTGATGAGGTTTAATTGGTGGATGTAGTCCCGACCAGGAAACAGCGGCTTCCGCGTGAACATCTCTACCGCAAGGCACGCCATCCCCCACAAGTCAACAGCCCCATCGTATTCATCACTCAGAAGCAACAACTCGGGGGGCCTGTACCAACGCGTCACAACGTAGTGCGTCATATTTGGGCCCCCTCCTCTCGCAAGGCCAAAGTCACACAGTTTCAAATCGCACTCCGAATTAGTTAATATATTGGCGGGCTTCAGATCGCGATGAATGACATTGGCACTATGAATGTAACGCAGCGCACACAGGAGCTGGTACGTAAAATATTGGCAGTGCACTTCTGCCAGTTTCACAGACTTCGATCGAAGAATGGCTTGCAGATCCGATGACATGAGCTCGGTCACTATATAAACGTCTGAAAATCCCGGATCGGAAGGGCGGTACAGGTCCTTGAGGGACAACAAATTGGGATGCTTAAGAAAACCTAACAGCTTCACCTCACGCAAGATACGTTTGCCATCAACGACGTCTCCAAAGATATTACTGATCTTTTTAACTGCAACCGTGTCCCCTGTTGCAGTATCCACCGCGCTACAGACAATACCATATGCACCGCGTCCCACTATGCTCCGTACCTCGTATCGTTGAGGGACCTCCACTCTTGACTGAGTATTAAAGGTGTACGTCACCCGACCCTCCGGGTCAGGTGCGGAGACGTGCGTCAACATCTCTCGCCACGGCTGCCCGGCACTCTCTATGTTACTGCTCCCTCCTCTCTTCCTTTGCCCTATGAGACGAGCGACTATGTGAAAAGCGCAGGAGGGAGTTATCCTGAATGCGGTGGTAACTAAAAACCAATCCAAAAATGCAAAATCAAAAAAATATATAACAATGAAGTGTGAAAAAAGATCGATAATTGTTTGTTTCGCCGCAATAAGTTTGTGTACATGTAGGCATGCACCAAAATACTTTTTCTCCCTCATCGGATTCACGGACCCACCCTCGCTTCCTTTCTTTTTTCCCCCCGGCACACAAACACACCGTCGCAAGACTTACTCAATGTTGTTGTGGTTCTTTTTTAGACTCACGGAAGAAAGTCCAAAAGGCTGCCACCACGCAACCATTCCGTTCGAATAATGGGAGTGGGGCACCATCGCAGCCTTCAGCCGCCCTTCTAACTTCTGCAGCTCCGCCTGGGAGGCCCCCAACTCCCGCGCCAAATCGCGCAGCCCACATAGTTCCCGGCGAAGAAGCCCAATTGTGGCGTCTTTAAGTGACAACTGATGTTGAAGCTCATTTAACTGCCTTCTCAACAGCGTGACAGATTCCCCGCCGCCGCCCTCTTCCTCATCCGCCGCCTCGCGGCCCTCTATTTTTGTCTCTATGCATGTCTGTGTGCCTCCATAGGCAGCAACCAGCTCCTGATATTGGAACTTCAGTTCCTCAAACTCCCCCATCAATGCACACAACGGCTTCCTAGACGCGGTCTCCGCCTGCCTCAACTGCCGCCGAAGAGCCACAATGGTCTGGTGTGCTTCGCGGAGCTCCTCCTGACGGACCTCCAGCGTGCGGTGCACCTCCTCCGCTTCTCGCCTCATTTCCTCCCTCTCCAGCGGCCGTGTCTGGAGTGCGTCGCCATGACTCTCCTCCAGGATTTTATTGTACTTCCAAAGCTCCTCCGCATTTCGCTCCAGTTCCCTCACCCTTCTCTCAGCCACCGTCGCACGCTGCGCCTTGTCAACAAGTTGTCCAAGCACACGCCCAAAGAGCAGCGCAGAAAATGTCTCAAAAAACCACCCCATCATTGTTTCAATCAAATGTCGCTGCATCGATTCAAACTCGGAAAAAGTGCGCCATTTCTCTTGCCAACTTTCGTCCAACGCAGTCCTAAGACGGCTGTGGGCTGCGTGGATCACAAGCAGCTGGTCAAGGATTGGCCCCCCAAGCTCAATCTCGCGCAGCGTCTTCAATTTATTATTGTCATGCCATGTGTTGCCTCCAAAACATGACGAAGACGATGCCAATGATGCCGTTTCAACCTGCACAGGGCCATTGCTGGCAAATTGGCGTGCATCCTTACGTCCAATCGACCGTGTGGACAACAATTCACGCCCCCGTGGGCCCATCGCACCTACGGCCTCTTGGCATTCCCTCCAGCGGCCCGGAAGCAATTTCCGAAGAATGCGGTACTGCACGGCAATGTCGGCAGGCAAATCATCTGCAAAAGTGTCATCGTCTGACTTTGGACGATGCATACTTGTGCTCTTCTTCCACGCCCCCTCCCACGTGTTCACACCAAGCGGAGAAGAAGGCCGAAAAAAAAAAAAAAAAGGAGAAAAGATGCAGAAGGAAAAAAAAAAGACCCAAATTAATGGGAGAGAAAAAAAAAAAAAGAAAAGGGATAAATAAGGAAAACAAGGCGACGAGATCAAATTATGATGGTGGATGGGTAAAATGTGAGTCTCAACAAATATCAAAACTCAGTAAAGCGGGAGAACAGTGATAAAACAAGGAAAAAGCAGACGCAAATAAAACCTAACAAATGTCTCCACCTTTCGATGCTCCCGCAGCATCTCAATACCGCCCAGTTTACTCCTCTTATGCCTCTGTCTGTCATGTCGTTTTCTTTTTTCCTCCCTTTTCTCCTCCGCGGACATCTGCTCAGTTGTTGTTTGTTCCCGTGTTCCTTGCCGCCGGAATGGAGATGTAAAACAGCCACAACCCCATCCGTGTCGACGCCCCAGTCGCTGCAAACGGCACGCCGCCCTCCACACACACAGACACACACACACAGCCTCTTCACGCTGTAAAGAAGACCATAAAAGCGCAAAAGACAAAAAAAAAAAAAAAAAAAAAAAGGCGGCTCCCGTCAGGGACGGAAAAGAAGAGGCAAATGGTGACAGTAAACAAGAAGAGGGGGGAAAAAAAAAGGGGGGTTGCGGTGATAAAAAAAGTAAAAAAAATCTGCGGGTGGGCAGGCCGAAATAAAACACATCACAGCAGATGGACACCCCAAGAGAGAAAGAAAGAGACAACTCATCTTCGTTTTCTTTTCTTTTTTTTTTTCTTCTTTTCTTTTTTGTTATTTTTTGTTTTTTTCTTTTTTCCGAGGGGAAGACACAACCATTAAAAAAAAAAAAAAAAAATTGAGGGGGCGAAGAATAAACAAAAAACAAAATAACAGAATTTTTAAATAAAAAAAAGGTGCCGAGGTGGGAGCCACAACGACGCCGGCAGTTGTGTTTTTGTCGTCGGCACGGCTGCAACGGCGGTGAGGCGGCGCCTACACCCCCGCCCCTCCCACTCCACGCAGTGAGACAAACAGACACTCAGACGCAAATATGCCCCAAAACACGCACACACACAAAAAAAAAAAAAAAAAATGCCTTGACGTCACTACTCCTCCGCCACATCACTGCGTCGTTTTTTGTTTGTTTGTTTCTTTTTTTTTTCTTCGTTTCGGTTTTTGTTTTTGTTTTTTGTGTGTTTTTTTTTTTTTTTACCGCCCCTCCGTCAATGTACGTTTCGTTCGTCCGATGTCTGTGCGTCCTTCACCCACCCATTTTTATTTTGTCTTCCTCCTCCTCTCCGGCAGCATCGTTGAGTCTCTCTCTCCCTCTTTCTCTTCCTCTTTTTCCTCCCGCCCCCTTCTCCTTCACCATTCCGAGATTATCCTCCCCTCTCATATACATGTACACACAAATAGACACGCACGTATAAACAGAAATCAATATGGAAATATAAACACATGCTCTTCTAAGAGCGTTATATATGCTGGCTATACTCTTAACAGCATCGTCACCCCCTCCCTCCCTCCCAGCGTACATGTTACCTTCCACCCTGCTCCGCCAACGAGCTGAAAAACGCTGCTTCGTTGCCCGGGGCTGGACCTCTTCCGAAGAAATTCTTCTCAGTCTCAATGTCCGTTTCGTCGCTCATCTCAAATGCTGTCTGTTCTACGGGTGACATTGTCAAAATTGTTTTATTCTCATAGGCTTTCAACAACGCATATCTTTTCATCAAGGCATCCGCGACAGTCAACCCCATCCGCTGTGCCATTGCCGCGTATGCCACTCGCGAAGCGTCGTGGGTGCGGGGATATGGCGGGCCCGGCACAAAAGAATTCGCCCCGTATAACCGTGTACTCGACATGCCGTCGGAAAGCCGAACAATCATGCATGAAATATTGTCTTTACTGCCGCGTCGGATGGCTTCGTCACACACGCGCGCTGCGGCGACCGCCAAATCGGTACATTTCGCCACCTGCTCGTGCACAAATCCCACCACCTCCTCGTTGGAGAAAGCCCCTTCAAATACGCCATCGCAGGCAAGGATAATGATGTCGCCTTGTTGGCAGGCAAGCCTCGTGACATCAGGTACGGCAATCACCTTTTGTTTCATGTAGTCGCCCCCCACATCCTTACGCTTGAAGGAACTGTCGCCAAAAGAGCGCGAGACGGCAAGGTCACCGTCGACACGGCTGCTAACTACGCATCCTCCGTTGGCCTCTATGCGGTCACGTTCGTCCGGATTGTTTGGTTTATGGTCCTCGGTGGCAAACAGCATCTTTCCACCGCGCGTCAGTATCGTCCGGGAATCCCCCACGTTACACACAATGGTGGTGTAGTCCCGCATGATGAGACAAAAGGTGCCAGTGGTGCCGCTCGCGTCACCAACGTCCCTCATGAAGTCGTTGTCCAAAGACACACAGAGTCGCTCAAAGTCCACCGGTTCGTAATTACCGTTCATCGCCCTCACCTTTTCAGGGATATGCTTTGCAATGTACTCGCTGCACTCACCTCCGTTGTGGCCATCGAACACACCAAAGAGATTCACGTCACCGTCTGCCACCATCACATGTGCATCCTCCATGCTTGGACGATAGCCGTTTACGGATACACAGGCAGCGCCGATGCGGTAATTGCCTGCTCTATCGACAATTTTGCTTAAAATAGGCTTCGGCAGCATGCTGCCCATTTTTGCGACGGTTTTTCTATTGGGTGGTGGGTGGAAAAACAATAATTAAAACTATCCTCTTTTTTGTTGTTGTTGTTGTTGTTGTTACAGAGCCAACCACCACACGCAGAAAAAGAAGAGAGAGAGAAAGATGTCCGTGGGCCTTTGCGTGTGTGTATGTGCAGGCGGGCCGGACAAAAAAAGCAGAAAAAAATATAAAGAGAGGAGAGGGTAGAATAAAGAAAATAGCGATAGTAATAATAAAGAAACACGCACAAGTCCTAAAACCGTGAGGGCCCCTCTTTCCCCCATCACTCTCATGCGGCTCCCGATGGATCACTCGCTGTGACCGAAATGGACATCTGCCTCGTCGTCCTTCGTCTCTTCCTCGGCGTGCAGCATCGAGAGAAACTCCCCCTGTGAAAAAGGGACGTTGCGGGTGCGGTGTATCATTTCATCCGCGGATCTTCCCTCATGGCACTCTTTAAGCCAAAGCAGCGTTGCCTCCATGTCAAGTGAAAGAAGTTGTTCCTGTTCCCCCTGCAGGATGGCGATGGCGGCTTGAAACAGAACCCGCCAGCCGTCCACAAGGAAGATATCCCACAGCCGGCAGACAAAGTCAAGGGGGAAGTGATATGTGTAAAGGGTGAGAAACCACTGCGGCGCGAAAAAAAAGACATTTAAGCCAATATCAAGAAAATGTCGGTTTAACGCAGGCAATAGACGCTCGATAAGGCGGCGGAGCACAGCCAGGAAAACCCGCAGTCGCGTGAACCCGGGAAGAAACATCTCCCGCATCAGGAACGGCGGGGAGTAGAAGAGATGTAGAAGCATCCCAAACGCCTCCTCCTCTGGGGCGTGCAGCAAAAGCATCGCCACAACGAAGGCCATGCCCTGACAATATCCCACAGCGGGGTCAAGGCGGCTATAAACAGAGAGAATGCGACGCAGCTCCACCTGCCCCACAGACCCCTCCCCAACAAAGAGACAGTGCGTCGGGAACGTGCGACTCAAGTCTCTCTGAATTGCCTCAACAGTCTTTTTGTCCGGCGGAGAGCTCTTGAGAGAGACATACGTCGCATGGTGGGCACGCACCACACTCTCCGGGCGTTGCAACGACCCAGTGAAAAAGCCCCACAGCAAACGACGCAGAGTTTCATGCCGAACGCCACCAAAAAGAAGTATGCGGCGCCGCATTTGACTAAAAACTCGCCGCTGGGCCTTCGCGAGAGCCGCCTGCTCCTCCGCATCATGTTCACTGCAGCTGCCTGCCGTGTTTCCGCGTCGCTGCAACTCAAGCGCAAGCCGCATGTAGCAGCAGATGCGGCTCAACCAGAACTCTTCCTCACGCGCCCGGGCGGCCCGATCGTCGCTCAGCGGCGGGCCGCCAGGTGCGGGTGGGGCATCCTCGTCAAGCAGATAAAAGCCAAAACTGTCGATTGCCGCCGGCCCCTCCTCACGCACCGCCTGAACCTCAAAACGATCCGGCGGCATTCGCACGAGAAGACAGGCCTTTTTTCCTCCCCAACGCCACGCGCACCTCACAGCGAGGCATAAAACAAAAAAAGACAAAAAATAAAAAAAAAGAAAAAACGATGAAAAACACCAAAGAAAAGCCGACGGGGTTTTCGTTAAAAAAAATTCAAAAAAAGTGACACGTTTGGAAGCAACAAATAAAATTTCGTGCGCCACGCAGAAAACGCATCAAAGAAAGCAGCAAAAAATATCGCAATTCGGTGTCTTTGCTAATTTTGCACCTTCCCTCCCTCATTCCCTCTGCAACCATCCGTCCCCATGCTTGTCAGGCACGGCTTCCGCTCGGGTCGTTCGCAGTCCGTCGCTTCACACCGCATGACTGTTCAGCCTGGCACCAGCAGTGCAGTTCACGTGTCGCCGCCAACACAACCAACACACACACACACACACACACACACACACACACACACGATGCCCTCCATTGGCGGCGAAGAAAAAAACGAAAAAAAAAAAAAAAAAGGACGGTGAGAAAAACAGAAAAAGTAAGGGAATCAATCGGATTGGTGTCGGCCAGGGGCACTGCGTGCAAGCCCCCAGCTCGCCCGCCCTTCATGGTGCATACATACGCAACAAGAAAAAGGGTAAAAAATAATTTTTATCTTCGTTTTTCCTCTTGGCATGTGTTTTTTCTTCAACCCACAGCTCACATCCTGAACGTCTTTGCAAAAAGGGATGGAACAACTGGAATGGCGCAGAGCAAGAAAAGCAAAATAAAATGGATTGACAAATCGCAAAAGACGCAGTCCTCTGAAACGGTACAACAACGAAAACCCATTTTTTTTTTTTAAGAGGCAGTAAAACAAAGGCAAAAATACTCAAAAGAAAAAGTTTCTCGCGCAGAAGACGCAAATATCCGGCAGAAACACTCAACTCGGAGAAAGTGACGAGCATCACAAGCCAAGTAGCGGGCGGCTTTTGTGTTGTTGCTTTTCTGCCTTTTTGCCTCCTCCGTTTGGCCTTTGCTATTGCGTAACGACCTCCGCTCTGCTGCAGCCCACAAGATTCCGTCAGTTCCAGCACCGCGCACACAAACAAACCCACACTCACTGTAACGCATCCTATTTACATGGCGATTCATACGCGTTTGCTCATGCAGTCGCCTCCTCTTCCTTTCCCTCTTCTTCGTCTGCAGCAATCGTTTCATCCCCGGGTGTCGGCAACGGCGAGGCAGCGCACAAGAGCGGCCTTGTGAAACTAATGGGCGCCAGCGGAGCGTAATTCTCATTAGCGACAGATGCGTCATCGATATCATCGTTATCATCGTCTTCGTCCCTGCACGATGGGGTCGACGATTCTTCTGCCTTCTTCTTCTCTGCTGCCTCTGTTTGTATCCCCTTTATGAATACGGGCTGAGGCCCCATCTTGCGGTCACGCTCTCCCTGCGGCTTATGAATGAGGTACAGCGTCAGGAACTGGACGATGATCTCACGGACATCTTCGCCGCGCTCATCGTTGTGACCGCCAGCCACCAAGTGGTGCAGGCACGAACCCTTGAACGCATTGGACACAGCAATGGAGTGGCTCAGCACCACAAAGTCATCGGTGTCACCATGAAATATAAATGTTGGCACGACACACTCGGAAGCATACTTCAAAGCATCCAACTCATCAATGTTAAAGGCAGCGCGCTTCGCAATGCGCTTGCGAATGCGATCCACAATGCCGTCCACTAGCCTCGCTGGAAAGCGCTTTGAGCCATACCTTTTCACCAAATCCTTTATGAGTAAACGCAATGTAGAGAAGGGCGAATCGCAGACAATACACTTAATAGAGGCGTCTTTCGCGGCGTACATGATGGACGTCACCGCCCCCATGCTGCGTCCCCACAAGCCGATTCCTTCGACGTCGTTTTGTCCAAGAAGATAATCTACCACTGCGGCCAAATCCTGCCGCTCATAAAAACCAAGCGAGATGTACTCTCCCTCCGACTTCCCGCTCCCCGTCGCGTCAAAAGCAAAAAGTGAAAAATTGTGCCGCAGTATAAAAAGAGCCTCCAGCGCGTCATAGCGGGAGCCACAGTTGCCGTGGAGGTAAATGACGCAGGGCTGACGACGGCGAGCCCTGGGGCGGAACCATGAGCACTCCACCCCCAGTCCACGCATGTTCGTGAGAGTGAGCTCGGTGCGAGTGAAAAGCTCTGAGTCGTCGCTAATGCGGAAGAGCGTCGGGCCCAAGTCCATCTCCAAATCGTATTCCGCCCGCGGGGGGCGGATAATAAGATCGCAGATGGAGTCAAAGACGCCTCTGCCAGAAGCGAGATATTTCACGGCATCTACCGCGGAGAACATGACGCAGCCCTCGCTCCGATAACTGTGCCAGCACGAAGCAAATGGCTCCTACCAGATACTCTGGGGGGAAGGAAAAAAACGTTGGCAACAGTCTTATTAACAAACGCCAAAAGACAACTAAAAAAGGAAGAAGAAAAAAAAGGAATTTTTCAACAAAAAAAAGAAAAACCAAAAAAAAGGAGGGGGGAAGGGGGTGAACGGGTATCGCAGTGATAATACTAAAAGGAAGAAAAGACGCAGGTTCAACAGCACATAAAAAAAAAAAGAGAAGCATTAAACAACAAATCTTACCCACTCCGTAAAAAAATCCCTCATTGGTGTCACGGCTACTGCCAACTGCCGCAGTACTGCCTCACCTATTGGCGTGGTACACAAGTAGGCGTTCGTGACGCCAATGAGGGCCCCCACAACCACCTGTGAGGGGTAGTGGTGGCTGTTGTATACGCGGCCGTAGGATACTGCCAAGGCTGACGAAATCAAGAAGGCCCGCATGCCCAAACTCATCGGCAGCCCCGTCAAAGCGGCGCGGCGCATCAACCACGTAACGAAAAAGAACATGAACTGGGCGTGGTCGCTGGGCATCCCGTGAGCACTCGGGACGCCAAAGTCAAAACTTCCCTTCGCCGGATGGAGTGGCCTCGGATTTCGAAAAAATCGTTTCAAAAAGAAGTTTAGAAGCGAGTTGTACGAAAGCCCCAAGAGAAGTATAATGGCTGGTGTCTGCTGTCGGAATTGCGCTGCACTCGCAAGTCCTGAAAGAAAGACTAACAAAAAGAAGGGGTTTAATCCCAAAATAGCAAAGAGAAAAGACAACGAGTCCCGATTGTCATAAAAGGCCGCCGTGGGCGTCCAGGCATCCCACCCCCCATTCATCGCCTAAATGAGCAAAAGCAAAAGAACTAAAAAAAAAAAAAAAATGCAGGAAAAGAAGTAGGATATTTTACCCCCAGAAGAAACAGCAAAAAATAAAATAAGAAATAAATGCATAGGAAGCATAACTGCGCAAAAAAAAAAAAAAAAGGTGGGTCCATTTCCGCAGCTACGACTTAACTGTCGATGAAGCACGACTGGATGCGGGCAATCAATCCACGGCCTACAACTGCTCTGTCATTTCAAAAACGTCGTCCTCCTCGCCACGCTCCTTCTCCTCCATGGCCCCCGGCTTGTTGCGATGCCAGTATTTTACCTCGGCTGAGCAAGAGGCAAGAAGGCTGCCTAATGGATTCCAGGCAATGGCGTTCACCGGATTTGCAACATCGCGAAACCGATCGTGGGCGTTTTCAACCATTGCCGTTTCGTGGATAATGTGCAAAAACCCACCTTGGCCCTGAGTGACCTCGTATGCATCAACCAGCCAGTACATGAGGCTTCCGTCAGCCCCTGCACTAACAAATAGGTCTGGCACATGCGGGTGCCACTCCACTCGTTCCACAGACTTTGAATGAGCCTCATATGAGGCAATTTCTTGAACCATGCGGATGTCCCAGAGTTTTACGGTGCAGTCCTTCGACGCAGAAAGCAGCGTTGTCCCGTTTGGATTCCACCGCACACAGTTAACCGATTGCGCGTGACCCTGCAAAGCGGCAATGCTTCCACGTGAAGCCGTACGTGGATCCCACAATCGGCAATCACGGTCTTGGCTTCCCGTAAGGATAAGTGAATAAAACGGATGCCAGTCGACTGTAACCACATCACCGCCATGTCCCTCTAACTTCACCTCCTCTCTCGCCTGCTGCGGGTCAGTGCCCACCGCATTTGTGTCCCACACACGCGCAGAACCATCTTGCCCGCATGTACAAAATTTACCTTCCAATGGCGCCCATGTGACCTCCCGTACAGCGCGATGATGTGAATTATACACCGCTACAAGAACAAAATTTGACAGCCAAAGTTTTATGATACCCGCGTCGTCACCACTTATGATCAAATCACTGTTGTTTCCCCACGTTATGGCCCGACAAGGCCGGTGATCTTCGTGGGCTACGGTCTTAACCTCCACGCCAAATGAGTGCCCATTAAAAAGGAGAAACTCACCACGACCGGTAGAGCACAGAAGGCGACGACCATTGGGGGCCCACTTCAGATTCATGAGCGGCACACGAGTGTGCCCAGCACGCGAGTCTGGGTGAAAGGAGGTGTTCACCCACTGTGTGCAGAGAGCCGTACTCGGGTTAAATGGTGTCTGTGCAGCAGGTAGCATGTCCTTCGAGTAGTACGGATGCGGCTCCACATGAAAGCCGTATGGCGTGTTGCGATGCAGCAGACGAGTTGTCACGTGTCGAATGGCTGAAGAGTAAAAGTCAACAGAGCGCTGACCGTGTATTTTCCTTCGCGGCACATACTCATCGTAGTCCTGTCCCCGCTGTCGAAAGCGAGCCTGATAATGGCCGCCACGGCCGCCCTCACCATTCTGTTCCATGTAACGCACACACACACGAAGACCCTCTCCTTCCTTCTCTTGTTTCCCTCCACTTGGAAAAAGCAGAAAAACATTTAAAAAAAAAAAAATGAATATTTATGCACCGTTTCCCCTGCCAAGGGAAAATCTGCAGTGTCTCAGCAAAAGAGCGTGCAAAACACCCTCACAAGGCCATTGCACAATATCAAATAGAAAGAAAAGTGGATACAGGTTCACGCAGGTAAGTCATCCTTCAACAAGAGGCAAAAAAAGCCTGAAAAGGCGCTCGCCGTACCGACACCGTTGAACCTGAAGCTAAATGAACCCCCTCCCCGTCGGCCATCAAGAGAGCGCCTGGGGAAACACCGCCTTCAGCAATACTAGGAACGTCCTTTATAAATAAATCCAGCTCTGAGACGCAAAGACACTCACAAACACCGTCCTCATTTATGATTGCACCCTCTGCGGCTTCTCGGCTCAACAAATGCCAAAGCCGAAACCTTGATGCCTCTTCAGTGGCGTATGTTACGCCCAAAGTACCGTGTTTAAAAGTTGCATTCGGTGTGAGAGAATAGCGTTTGTGTTGCAACGGCATCTGTGAGGCAACAAAAAGTTTCATCGATGCCTCCACCTCCACACGGGAATTACTCACCGTCATGACGGTAGTACATGGAACAACCTCATTTCGCATCGCCGTGTAAAAGGCTCCCAACTTATATTTATTTCGTACAGTAGGAAGAGCCACGTAGTTCTCTCCAACAGCATCCAAATAATGAAGATGCCGAACACACATGGCATAGGCGCCTATTGAAATATAAGAAACAAAATACCGCAAAAATCTTCCATTCACACGCAACTCCCAAAGAGGAATAGGCTCCACACGCCCCAGCACAAAAGCAGACACTGACCGCTCCGCCGAAAGCACACCAAGGGACGTCGCGATGGAGTTCTGAAGCCCACATGGCACGGGCACAATTGGCACTTTAAGAAGCAGCTCGTGACGCGCGGCCGCCAATGCATTCGCCACAGAACTCAAAGTGCCGTCGCCGCCACAGACAACGATGGCATCTGCCACATCCGCGTGCAACTTGATGGAGTGCAAAATGTCTCTCCCCGGCACGCGTACATCCTGGTGACTGATGCCTGCCCTGTCAAGGTACCGTTGAAGAGCGCTCGCAAACACCGAGGCCCCCTCCCTCGCCCCGCTGCGTGTGTTGATGATGGCAACGCAGCCTTTGAATCGACTCATGTTGCGCCGGACCACGCTGTGCACAAGGCCCCCGCCAAAAACACCTGCTGTTCCTTCTTCTACACTATCGGAGATGAAGCATGCGTACTGTCGGCATCGGGGAAAAAGGCCACTGTGGTGAGACAGACAAGCCACAATGGCGACGCGTCTCGTTCAAGAGACAGAAAAACGTGGGATGCGCACCGCCAATGCACACACACACACACAGACAAACAGACACACAGAGAGAGACAAAAAAAAAAGGAAACACTTAAATGTGCCTAATATATATATATATATATATATATATATATATATATATATGTATTTATTCTGCCTCTTTTTTGCCCCCCAACAGAAGACGAGAAGCGCAAAAGGAATCTCCATACTTTATTTTTCTTGCTGTCGCTATGACCACTATAAATTTATTTCAATGATCAACGGCGAGCCAGAGGCAACTCCTCATCTCATCCAATCATCACTAATTACAAACGGAAAGAAAATGCTGAAAGCACCCTCCGCCCGCCTCCCGCTCGCAACGGAGTGCGTCGGGTCAGCTGGGCCTTCAGCACACGCCCTTCGCGCAGCCTCCATAGTAATACATACAAAAAAAGACCACCATGACGGATTATTTTTTGTCCCTAGAGTTTTATCAAATCCGGTGATCCACACGCCAGCCACCATCGCAGAGCGCGTTCGCCCCACTGATTGGAGCTGTGAAAGAAAGCACCGGCTGTCGAAGAGGGCGTGAAACACAAAAACACACAAAAACACATACACACGTTACGCGGTCACTCAGGACAAATGCGGCAGTACGTTAATCCGTCGTCGCCGAGAACCAAAACACACCAATCAAAAATAAAAATAAAAAATAGAAAAATAACAAAATGGCTAATCAATAAATCAAAAAATCCATAATAAAAGGCTGTTGTTTTTCGTTTTTCCTCTTTCAGTATTCGAATAAATTTGATGGCCCGTATTACGGCAACACGCGCCCTCAGACCTCATGGTGTTACAACTGTGTGCCTCCGGTAACACGCGGCCGGTCCGGGCGCTGGTTGGTACCGTCAGCCCTGCGCCAACAACCACGACCGCGTGAGGGAGACATGGCTGGCTTTCGGCTTCCCCCCGACGGTACGGAGCGATTGACACTGGCGTACCACGTTTAGGCAGCCGGCGTTGCCAAAAGAAAATAAGGTAACTTAAACATGCATTCCTAAGGCTCAACCACTCCTCTCGCAGTTTCCCAAAAGAAGAAAAAAACGACCAATAAGAGGAATTTTTCTTTGGCCTCCGTAAAACGTCATGACCCCTCCGCTCAGTTGACCACTCGCCACAAAGATGTTCGAAGGAAAGATCGGTGTCACTAAAAACATTGTCATCGTGTGCAGAGGAACTCTCGCCCGTGAAGTCCTCAGATCTTTTGGCGGCAGTGCTGGTGCAGAAGTGACCTCACGCTCCTTCGACGAGTGCGAAAATACCGGCATTTAAAACAGCAACAGTTACGAACACAGCAAGAAACACGTACAGCGGCAAAAGGCTGCGCCGCACTTTATCTCTGTGCCGCTGCTTTGGATCCTTGTATAATGGCATGGGCCTCCCCGGCCGGAAAAAGTACGAAGAGTTGCCGCTCTCATCAGTACTCGTTGAAAATGCGCTGGGGTCCCACTCATACCATTTACGGAGAAACACTGCCACCTCAGACTCGTCAAAAGCACCCAGTGAATTCCGGCAATTGCCGCATATTTCCGCGTCTGGGAACTGCCGCTTGGGCACGAACGGATCGGCCCCCTCCTTAACTGGCGCAAGTCGCGCGTTCACGCTGTTATGGGCTCGCCAAAGCTGTAAAACGGGGTCCTCATCCCGAGTGAAATTAAACTCCAAAAAGTGCTGGCGGCATTCCTCACACGAAAAGAAATAGCGCACATATTCTTGAATCGCTTCCAACGGGTTGGTGTCACCACCGGCATCGACGTTGACCGTGATTGAATGGTAGAGAAGCCACATCCCACACGGAAAGCCGCGATAGCTTGGGGACGAGCCCTTGCAAGTGCGCCACTGCACCTCATTTGGAGCTCCATAATATGGGATGCGGGCGGCAAGGACGGCTTCCTGCCAGCTCTCAACGGAGAAGCGCGTCCCGTTCTCAATTTCCGCCACCGCCTCCAGCAATGCGTCAGCCCCAAGTCCGGGGAGGGCGGCTTCGACAATACGCAGAAAGCATTTCACTGCCCCCAGAGGCCCCGCGGAGTCAAGGCCCACAAGCGATACCTCGTTCCACATTGTGAGAAAAAACGCGCCAGCGATATCTGTGGCGTAGAGTTGCCTCGTCTCAACAAATGGGTCTGTTGAGGACGACTCTCCGCCCCTCCGCGCCCTCTTTTCAGCCTGCAATGAGCGGCGCATTCCCACACAACGCTGCATCATGGACCCATCAACATGCATATTTTCCTTGATAATTCCTTGTACCTCAAGC